CAAAATCCCAGGACGACAATGGAGGAGAAGAGTTTGAGGTATGGCCGTGCCCCCTGAGGGGTTATTTCTCGGTTTCCCTCTCACACACTCTGTCTCATTGGTAAGTGCACAAGCAGTATGGAGGAAAAAAAAAAAGAGAGAGAGAAAAGAAAAAAACTGAAAGAATACAAAGGAATGATGAGAAGAAACCCTGGAAGATGACAGAATGAGTAGCAGTATCAAGAATTTTTACCCTCAAATTTTAATTAGAAGGTTTGGGAATAATTTTCTTTTTAATTTAATAGGGCACCAGACAGAGAGAGGGAACGTGGTAAATCACCTCGTGGGGGTATGGTCACACCGAAATTCCCTCTCCTACACTTGGGATTTGTGGCATGCACGTACACATGCCTAGCGTAACTCTCAAGCTGCCATGTCTGGGACTCGAACTGGAGAGCTGGCCATGTGGGATCCAGTGCCCCAACCTCCATACCACCAGCTGGCCTTGGGAAAATTTTTTAAACACTGAAAGTACCTGGCAGGAACCAGTTACAACTACCACTGCCGCTGCTACCAAATCTAGGTGTTCCCAATGTGGCCTGCTGTCATTGACACGGCAAAATGGGACAGAACAGAAGCCACTGCATCGGATATTTTCAAACTATGTGGCAGCACCGACCACAGACTTCTGAGAGGTTTCCGGTACTCTGTGTACTGACCCCCTGCCCTGCCGCAGTTGCCTCCTCTCCACCGTGGCGGCCAGCTCTCATTGCCTCCAGGCCTAAGAGTTGGGAGGACTTAGCCAGAGGCAATTCATCTGGGATTTACAAGGGACCTATTAGAATAGGCAAGATATAGAGACCAGCAGTTGGTGTAATGGCAATATCGCTGGACTCCCACGTGGTCAACTGTGGTTTGAAGTCCTGGACCTGGTGGCTTAAACTCACACCTGGTGCGTGTGTGTACATGCCCAAGATCCTGAGAGAGAAGGGACTGCAGCATGGCCATCCCCCCTGGGGATGGTGAATTCTTGCTTTCTGTCTCTCTGTCTCTCTGTCTCTGTCTTTTTGGTGAGCACGCGTACCCTATTGCAAAAACCTCTCCAAAAAAAAAAAAAACAGGCAAACAGGCAAGATATAAACAAGATTATGATAATAAATAAATAAATAAATGTTTTAAGAAAAAGCATAGGGGACCAGCAGTTAGCGTAATGGATATGTCACTGGACTCCCATGTAGTTGACCGCGATTCGTGTCTTGGACTCGGTGGCTTAAACTCACGCTGGGCTCATGTGCGGGCGTGCCCAGGATCCCGAGAGGAGAGTGGAGGAGAAGGGATTGCTGCATGTCCATCCCCCAGGGGGGTGGTTTCTCGCGTTCTCTCTGTCTGTCTCGCTCTGTCTGTCTGGCAAGCACACGCACCCTATAGCAAAAACCTCTTAAAAAAATAAGAAAGAAAGAAAAGAAAAGGAAAGAAAGAAAGCAAGCAAGCATAGGTGGCAGTACTTACATCAGAACTAGTAGAATTTCAGAAAAAAAAATACAAAAAAGAATATTTTCAATCCATCAATAATTTAAAAACCAGTGAAGTCCCAAAACTTGATGGACCAAATGTCATCAAAATAAAGAAAGAAAAAAAATCATACAGGTATGCAAGAAAAAACAGAAAGAAGTAAAACTGCTGTGAGAGCCCTACTACGTGCCGTCAGTAACGGTATGTATAGACCGCACAGCCCACCTGCTGTGGCATTAATAAACACGGACCGAGCATCAGCGCACGAGGAGGAAATTTGCACGCTTCTTTTCAGGCATTTATGGGCCACTTATAAAAACTTAAAAGCTCATTCTGTGTTAGATTCCCAAGAAGAGTGCAAAAACAAAACAAAACAAAACAAAAACAAACCAACCAAAAAATCCCCAGAACCCACCAGAAGTGACCTCACTACATCACACCCGTCTCTCCCTCCCATTTCAGGGCTCGAATGTCCATCTGTCTTCCTCTTCAAGGCTAATTAATCCGTCCCCCTATGTTCTGGACTCCAGCCCTTCTACTTCCTCAGAGACTGAACTCTGCCTCTCCACCCCTCTCTCCCTTTGTCTCTTCTCTGTGTGACCAGGTCTCTCCCATCTTAAATAAAAGTGTCATTTTTAAAGTGTGTGTGTGCATTTGTAAGTATAAACATTATACAATTATATATATATAAAAATCAATAAAAAGAGTTATCTTTACATATATGTTTCTTTTATCTTATGTATGTGTGTAAAGAAAACTCTTGAACATAATACCACATCTGCAGCCATGATTCTAATTTTGTTTTATTTTTTTAAGAGGTTTTTGCCTTAGGTTGTGTGTGCTCACTGGAGAGAGACAGAGAGATGACAGAGACAGAGGGAAAGTGAGAAAATGCCCCCCCCCCACCAGGATGCCCAAATCACAGTCTCTTCTCCTCCGTTCTTTTCCTGGGATCTTGGGTTCACACACACAGTACCTTGAAACTGTGTCCTGGACTTGAACCGTTATCAGCTATGTGGGAGTCCAGGGATGTAACTGCACCACCATCTGCTGGTGCCCCATTCTGATCTTTTACCTGCTCTTTACTTTTTAGCATTTTAAGCCACAGCCTCCCGTGCGTACTCCGATTGAAAGTGCTTTTATGAAGCTTATTGAATGTCTGTTGCTTCATCCAACAGACCCGCCCCCCCCCCCTCTTTTTTTTTGGTCATAGGGTGTGTGCCCTTGCCAGAGAGAGAGAGAGTGAGAAATCACCCCCCAGGGGAATGGCCACACACTGCAATCACTTTTCTTCCACTCTTCTCTCGGGGTTTTGGGCATTCACGCACACACGCCCGGCATGTTTCAAGCTGCCAGGTCCAAGACTTGAGCCGTAGTCAGCCATGGGGGAGTCAGAGCCTTAACCACTGCGCCACCTGCTGGCCCCCAGTGACGGGCACTTTGAAACCCTCTTCTGTACTTAATACTGTTGGCCCCTCCCTCCTTCAGATCCTCTCCCTCACCAGGGTTCCCATGTCATCACTGGTCAGTGGGCTGAAATGAATGGTACCATTTCCTGCAGGGTGGTGAGGAAAGGGTGACATTTATGACTTGGGATCAGTCCTCCTTCCCTGCCCTTTGGGCTTCGAGTCTGCCCTTGCCACACCCCAAGTCATAGCTGCTCAAACGTGGCTCACCATCTGGCAGGTCAGCCTCACCTGGAGGCTGCTAGCTGGGGGAATTCGCAGGCTCCTCCCTGAACTGCTGGGTCAGGATTTCTGTGGGTGGGGTGCACATCTGTGTTTGAACAAGTTTTCCAGGTGATTCATATACACGATAAAACGTTTGGGAGGCGCTGTCCTATAAAAGTGTCACAGAGACGTCTACAGATATATCAAACTTTACTGGAGGGTTGTAAAGATGAATTTCAGTTTATCGAGAGACATTTAAAACTGTAGAGTATATATTACTTTTCTCATAATCTAAGGGCATTAAACCTTTAAGAGAGGCCCCTTTACAGGCTCCGCTCAGTTCCTGGCCTTGCCATCTGCCCTACGATGGACATTTGTCTCCAAGGGTATAGACCAGACACGTGGGGATCCAGTGTCCTCTCCCCACCACATCTCCTTCTCCAAGTCTGAGGTATTTTGGCTCAAATAAAATGCCACGGGTTCTGGCCTGCAAGGTTCCACTTGAGCGTGTAATTATCAGTGGGCTAGTTGGACGATGGGATAGTCATGCACACGTGCACACACATGCAGAACAAATGTTCCGCAAAGATTTTGCAGCCTAAATTGGCAAAGATTTTTGCAAGAGAGTGTTAAGCCCACCTGACCTACTCAAATAGGTTTTCTTCAGTTCAGGAAAGCTTCCTAATTTATATGTATTTTAAACAGAATTTTATTACATATATAATATGCTATATGCTTGTTATAGAAAATTCATATCCAGGCAAAGGAAAAGAAAATGACAGACATCATGTAATCGATCGTATTGCCAGGAGATTGCACCTGTTATCCTATTAGTGGGTATCCATTCTGGGGTGGAGGTCAAGTGGTTGAATATGTATTGGGTCATCGGAAAAGTCACAATGTATTTTTCTATGCGAAAATGTGTTATGACTTTTACAAACAACCCAATATACATACTCACAATTTGTATTATAAATTAAAACCTGCTTTTTATAAAATTTGAAAGGGCAGCAAAAGATATAAAGTGGTAAGGAAAAGCTACCCTCTTCCCGCACACTGCTAACCAGTTCTACTTTTTAGAAATACAAGTATTATGAATAGTAATTATCCCTTGCATTAAAGATATTTTTTATACATGTGTATACACACACACACAACACAGGTACAAGGTAATGTAAGCCCTCCGTACAAATCTGTTGGTTTTTGAGAGGTGTGCAGAACTGATCAGCAGATATAGATTTATGTATTATTATTTTAAGTTTATTTAATGATTAAGAAAAGAGAGAGCTACAGCACCCCAACAGGCTCTCAGTGCCGCAGTCCACACCCCCTCCTCCACCAGCCCAGATCATGGGCACGCGTGTGCGTGGTTTACTCAGGGTGGTCTCGGGATGCAAACCCGCAGACTCTCCGTGGGGGTCAGCCTCGCAGGGTGCCGCATTTTATAACTCTGCTGCTGTCTGGCCTTCATTAATGTGTACTTGCTTTTATTCACCGGAGATTTTTTACTTGTAAGTTCTCATCCGTTGGCTTTATTTCTTAAAATGATGACTTAGGGGGACGTATACTAATTTATGTAATTAGACCCAGGTTCATGAACATTTGAATTTTTTTCCCAGGTTAGCTACTCTTTTGCACTTTTTCTTGCAAATGTCTTGATGTGTTTTAGGTTTTCAAGCATTCTGCTGATTTCTCCTTCTCCTTTCCATAAGCCTTCTGATCTTATGTAGAACAGCTTCACAGAATATTACGTTTTTGCTCTGCACCCTCCGACCCCAACTTTCTCATTGTCGTGGGCGTTTAGTATACACATTTTGCTACAGTTGTCTTCTTTTCCAGGAGAAGAAAATGTAATCGCTGTTCCTCTGGGAAGTCGAAGCGTGAGAATTACAGTAAAAGGACCTGCCCATCTCTGTAAGTAGAACTTAATCTTAACGTTTCTTATTTCCTGAAAGTTTATTTAGCCAAATAGTCCCAAAATAAACAAACGAATCTTTCTCTGCATTAATATGTAGACAGACATTTCAGGGATGTCGTCCACTAATTGGAGATAGTCTTATCACTAGAGAAACTATCTGTACCTTAACTTTTTCTGCTCTCATACCCAAATGGAAAATATACCAGTTTGGCATTAATCCCTTCATGGGAGAGGAAATGAAGTTATATGTGAAATAATTTATGTGAAGAGTAAGGTTCGGGAGTCTTCTAGAGATTTCAGCTGTTTGGGACAAAAAAAATGTGTATATTATATATATACATACACATATATATGTATGTGTGTATATATATATGCATGTGTATATGTATGTATATACATGCATGCATATATGTGAGTGCATATACATATATAATAAAATATTATTTTATATGTAAATACACAACCTTATTGGTGAATAGGGCTGACTAGGAGAAACTTTCTTGCCTGCATATCACAACTTCCTATCTAGCTACCACTGAAAGCAGACTCTGGTTTCCTAGAATACTAAGAATTTGAAATAACAGAGGATTGCAGTTGTATTGTTTTTGTGGCCACAGGCAGATGGCATCTCCTCTGTCTTAGTTGTTCTGGTCTCCTATGACATAAAGAAACTAGAAATGCCCAAATTGGTTTCCTTCTCTGGCAAAGTCTCCTGGTGGTCACAGGTAGGCCTTTCTTAGTCATATTCAGCTACTGAGTCTGTGCTAGCCTGACTCCCCGGCTCTGAAGATGCATACTATGTTCAGCAAGCTCTAATTGTAACTATTTTAAAGCCGCACAGATCAAGGTCCACTGAAACAAAGTGCTACGTATTTGGGCCAGCCTCGGTGGCGAAGTCAGTAGCATGTTGGACTGTGGAGCTGGAAGCCATAGGCCGAACATAGTTTGAGTCCCTGGCTTTGTTGGCCTGAAAACACATGAGATGCACGTGTGTATCCCCCGGATCCTGGCAGGCTGGATGAGTAGAAGAAGGGGACTGCAGCATGATCAGGCCCTACAGAGGGTGCTCTCCTTTTCTCCCACACATGTGCATATGTTCTACATGAATTTTAAAAAATGGCTACATATTTGCCTTTTCATTTCCCCCAGGCCATCATCTTAGACTTTTACATTTTTAAGAACCTTTCGAAGCCAGAAACATTTCACATTTTTGGTAGCTTTTAAATATGTGTGTATGCGTGTTTGTATATTTTGGATCCAGAATTAATATTCCAGTCAGAAATGTCCTTGGAGACAAGTTTATAACAGAATGTCCAAGTGAAAACATCTAAGGTTGCCATCAGATTGAAATCCTTAGGAAAAAAAAAAGATGTGATTCTATGTGCATTATGATCTAAATTCAGGAAGGAGGAGAACATCTTTGTGACATTGGAGGTGAACAATTATTCAAAAGTCCCTTTTTACCCTTCATTTGTAAATTGTGACTAAAAGACAGATTTTTTTAAAAAACAAAATTGCTAAAATGTTTACAGCCATATAATGGTCATTTCGTTCAAGGCTTCGTCATCATGGGACCAGCAGTTGACATAATGGCTATGTCACTGGACTCCCATGTAGTTGACCGTGGTTCGAGTCCCGGACCTGGCAGCTTAAACTCATGCTGGGTGCATGTGCGTGCGTGCCTAAGATCCCGAGAGGAGAATGGAGGAGAAGGGATTGCGGCGTGGCCATCCCCCCTGGGGGGTGATTTCTCACTGTCTCTCTGTCTCTCTCTGTCTTTCTGGCGAGCGCATGTGCCCTATAGCAAAAAGCACTCCAAAAAAAGAAAAAAAGAAAAAAAAAAAAAGCTTTGTCGTCATGAAGCATCAGAACATTTCTTTACCTTTTTAAGTGGCCGGAAAGCCATAGCCCTTGAGGAGAATAGCTCTTCATTTCTGTACATTGATTTTTAGAAACAGGTTCCAAAATATTCAGAGGCAGATTTCGTGGATCATTTGAATGATGATATTGTAAGTTAGCATTTGGGATTCAGAAGCCTGAAGTGGTAAATATTCATAGTGGCATTATTCCTAAGGCCCATCAAATCGAAACAAACCAAATGTTCAGCTGTTGAATGAATACATGAAATCGACATACATAGAATACTATCTGGCTGTACAGATGGATGAAATACTGTTACAGGCTACAGTATGGATAATCCTTGAAAACAGGACGCTGAAATGAAAGAAGTCAGTCACAAAGGCCACACATAGGACTTCATGTGTATAAAATATCCCAAACTGGCACATTTATAGAGTAGACTGATGGTTGTCTGGCTAATGGTTCTGGGGTTTCTTTTTGGGGGGTGACAGAAATGTTCTCAGTTTAGATCATAGTGAAGATGATCGTGGCTTCACACTGCATGTTCTGAAACCCTGAGTTAGGCATTTTAAATGGATGAGTTACGGCTTGAGCATTTATATCAAAAAGTTTTTGTTGGGACCAGCAGTTAGCGTAAGGGCTATGTCACTGGACTCCCATGTAGTCGACTGCGGTTCGAGTCCCGGACCTGGCAGCTTAAACTCACGCTGGGCACGTGTGCGTGCATGCTCAAAATCCCCAGAGGGGAACGGAGGAGAAGGGATTGTGGCGTGGCCATCCCCCCTGGGGGGTGATTTCTCACTTTCTGTCTCTCTTTCTCTCTCTGTCTTTCTGGCGAGCGCACACGCCCTATAGCAAAAATCCTCTCAAAAAAAAGTTTTTGTTTAAAAAAACAGAAAAATGCAATGATTAGGTCTCATAGTCTCATGATATTCAAGGCAATTCCCCCCAAATTTTTCTCCATAAATAGTTTTTAAGCTGTATTAAAAACAACAACAACAAAAAAAAAACAGAGGAAGTAAACAGGAAACAGAAGTAAAAGTAAATACTTTGAGGCCAAAGTTCACTTACATGTATATACATTAAATATAACTTCATACTCAAGACTGGCCCTCTTCCAAGAACAGGGCTCAAAAATGTTCCTGTTCCTCCAAAAGTGACAGATCGGTTGCTTGGAATAGTTGCCCTTCTGAGCGATCTCACCACCGGCCCAAGTAGAAGTGTTTCTAAAAGTTCTCCTCTGCCGACGAATAGAACTGGCTTCATTTACGAAAGATTTAGTTAAGAGTTTTAAATATCTAAATGTAGAACTGGGCTTGCTTTCTTGATTTATACAAGAACGTTCTCACATTTTATTTGTAAGGAAGATACAGTTCTGCAGTGAAGCTCCTTTTGCGATCATAAATCATCCTTTCGAGCCGTGTATCAACCGCAACCCTCCCGAAAGCTACATAATTAGGAACTGAGAACACCCGATAACGTAATGTCACTCTGTTTGCTGTGGAATGGAATTTAATGACAGAATGTTCATCTTCTGCACGCCTGCCTAGAAATACTCAGGTCCTGAATTTCCAGTTCTGTCATAAGCCTGGACGTAGCCTTAGAGGGAACACGTTGCTCCAATTTTCCAACCGTGCATCCCTTCAGAACTGGAAGCAGTGAGAGGATCCCTGCAAAAGAGAGTGTATGCTAGCAAAACCGTAGCAGTCAGTGTGTTGACTAGCAGTAAACTTGAGACGCTAAGACGCCGTGAACTAAAAACTTCCCTTATCAACCGGAAGAATATTTGTTTTCCTCTGGGTCCTGTCTGATGACCATGTATAAATTTGTATCAGTGTAAACATGGAAACGGTACATAATGATCAAAGGAGGTTCATGCTGAATAAAATGGACATGCACTATGAAAATGCAGCCGTACTATAAGCAAAAACTTGATGTGCTTATCACTACATTAATTGTGCTGGAAGCTAATCACTTATTTACCTGGAAGTACTTTTCCTGGCCCTTAGCACTTAGGGGAGCCAACCTTTTGGTGACAGGAATCATGACCTTGCCTCTTTTGAAAGAAGCCTGGATTGATACTGGTCAATGCCGAGTCCTTTTTTTTTTTCTTTTCTTTGGGAGGTTTTCGCTATAGGGCGCGTGCGCTTGCCAGACAGACAGAGAGAGACAGAGAGACAGAAAGCGAGAAATCACTCCCCAGGGGGGATGGTCACACCGCAATCCCTTCTCCTCCATTCGCCTCTTGGGATCTTGGGCACGCATGCACACGCGCCCGGGATGAGTTCTAAGCCACCTGGTCCAGGACGCAAACCGCGGTCGACTCCGTGGGAGTCCAGTGACATAGCCATTACGCTAACTGCTGGTTCCCAGTGCCGAGTCCTTTAATGCTCCAAGTAATTAAATGCATTTATCATCTTTCTTTAAAAAAAAAAAAAAACTAGTATGGATTGAAATATTTAAAGGCTGGGACCAGCAGATGGCATAGCATTTATGTTTCTGGAATCCCATGTAGTTGACCACTGTTCGAGTCCCAGACCTAATGGCTTCAAACTCACACTGAGCGTGTGTGTGTGTGTGTGTGTGTGTGTGTGTGTGTGTGTGTCCCAAGAATTAAAGGGGGAGACTAAGGGGAAGGGATTGCAGCATGGCCGTGTTCCTGGGGGGATTTCTCACTTTCTCTTTGCCTCTTTCTGTCTCTCTGGCAAGCGCACGTGTCCTATAGCAAAAATCTCTCTTTAAAAAAAATGGGGGGCGGGTGGACCAACAGTTGGCATAATGGCTATGTTTCTGGACTCCCATGTAGTCGACTGCGGTTCAAGTCCCGGACCCGGTGGCTTAAACTCACGCTGGGCACGTGTGCATGCGTGTCCAAGGTCCTGAGAGGAGAATGGAGGAGAAGGGATTGCAGCGTGGCCATCCCCCCTGGGGGGGTGATTTCTGGCTTTCTGTCTCTCTGTCTCTCTCTGTCTTTCTGGCGAGCGCATGCACCCTATAGTTAAAATCTCTCAAAAAAGAAAGAAAAATATGCTGGGCACGAGTGTGTATGTATTCAAGGACTAGAGAGGAGGTAGAGAAGGGATTGTGGTGTGGCCAGTCTCCCTGGGGGTGCATTCTCACTTTCCCTCTCTTTGTCTCTCTCTCTGGCAAGTGCACATGTCCTATACAAAACTAAACGAAAAACAAAAAAAAAAAAAAAAAAAAAAAAAATGTGCAAAATGCCAAAACCAAACTATCAAACTATCAGAAACACTGGCCTTTGACTTAGGGGAGGGAGCCGTAGTAATTGGTGTTCCCTTCTTCCTGGATTGCCTTCCCAGCATCTTACACCCCCAGCCCCAACTCCACATCCCAGGGAAACTTAGAAAACTGTGATCCAAAAGGCAAACGCAGTGGTAAAGCCATTACGACCCCAACACAGCCGTGGAATCCATTGCCTCGTTCTTGAATTTAATCAAGTTATTTCAGGCTAAATCCTCGTCTAGAAACTCGGTGAACTGCCTTGCCTCCGTGAGGATGGATTCGGTCCAACTTCACTGTGTGTTTGGATATTGCTTTAATGCTCATTGCTTCTTCCCCTTGGCTTTAGAGAGCTCTTTCACCCAGTGCGGGGACCACTTGCTATCTCTAAGAGCCATCTCATTTTTACTGACAACTCACTCTCTAACACTCGGTTTTATATCTTCATTGGAGCTAGGAAATGAATTTCATCTCACACGTTCCAAGAATCTACTGTGGTCACGGATATCGGGGCCAACGTGGTCGGGGTTCTGTGTGCCTGCAGGTAGCCAGCATTATTCGTTGACCGCTAATGACTCCTGCAGATCAAGTAGCTCATGTCCAGCCTTTGAATGTTCCCAGAAAGCTTCCCAGCCTGCCTGTCGGGGATAATCAGGGATGTCTCCTACTGCCTGTTATGCAGTCTGTCTAGGGCGCTCGAATTCCTGCAGCTGCCTTGGTGGCAGAGAGGAAGTCCAGCGAAGGAAAACAACCAAATCCCAGAGCACTGAGAGTGCTGGACCACTTTTTCATGTTTTATCAACTTTCCGTTTAGAAAAGAAATTTTTAATGGCTAAGGGACTCGTGTGCTCACCAGAGAGAGAGAGAGAGAGAGAGAGAAAGAAAACCACCTCCTCCCCCATGGGAGGTCATGCTGGAGCCCTTTTTCCTCTTTTCTCTGTCAGGATTTGGGGCACACGTACACACATGCACAGTGTTTTTCAAGCTGCCAGGGCCAGGATTTGAACTGCAGTCAACCAGATGAGATGCAGCTCCTTCTGCACAGAACATAACCACTGAGCCACGTGGCTGGCCCTCAACGTTCCATTTTTTAATTTGAAACTGGATGGAGTTTGGTTTCTGATGCATCCTTTGTTCAAAACGGTTAGAGGCTGGTACAATACCATTGAATCGAGGGTTGGTTTCAGTGTACAGTTGAACATGGGAGCATCATTCTGACTCCTCATCTTAAAAACAAGGAATTAAGGGACCAGCAGTTAGCATAATGGCTATGTCGCTGGACTCCCATGTCGTGGACCACGATTCAAGTCCCAGACCCAGTGGCTTAAACTCACGCCGGGTGCGTGTACGTGCGTGCCCAAGATCCTGAGAGGAGAAAGGAGGAGAGGGGATTGTGGCGTGGTGTGGCCATCCCCTCTGGGTGGGTGATTTCTCGCTTTCTATGTCTCTGTCTCTCTCTGTCCTTCTGGCGAGCGCACGTGCCCAATAAGGAAAAAAACAAAAAAAAAACAAACAACTCCCCCCCCCCAAAAAAAAGCAAGGGATTAAAAACCCAAGGCAGCAAGTTCGAGGAGGAACTGGGGCCAGAAATACGAGTGTTCTAAATGTGTGTGTGTGTGTGTGTGTGTATCCTCTTTCAACCTCAGACCAGGCCTGCTAAGGATGGTGACACTTACTTACTCAGAGAATCTATCTTTCTCAAAAGAGAAGACAGAGAAAGAAATCAGTTCAATAAAGTAAAGATGCCATTTTGTTCAAACTGTGGGCCAACATTTTTCCAGGCATGATCTTGAAAATGCTTCTGTTCATATAAAAGCAAACTCAGACACGATGTACCATGCAGGGGATAGCCAAGAGGGAGCACTTGGGGTGGACAGGACAGTTGGGTGGTGTTCAGAAAAGGATGGCCCGGAGCTGCATGCACACGTTGTCCGCAGGCCCGTCTCCTGGCTTTGCTCCCGGGCTGTAGTTTAGGACGGTGTGACCGTTGGGCGAAACTGCATGGGGGGGTACCCAGAGCCTTCTCGCGACAAGTTTTTTCTTTTCCATTATACATTCGTACTTGATTGTGCCCCCGTGGAAGTGTTCACAATAAATGAAAAGGCCAGATGTATAGTATTGTGTTGGGTAGATCTTACCATGTTTTGATGCTTACCCGATGTATGCTTTTTGTATGGATAGATTCCGTTGTTCTAGTGTGAAAAATATATACCCTGGCAACCCATGCAAATTTTGCAACTTGCTCAAAATAAAAAGATTTCCTAAATAAAAAGCTGTTTAAAAAAAAAAAAAACACAAGCAAATTTGAGATTCACTTTGATTTTTGTCTGAATAAAAGACTATTGCTTAAGGTACAGGCAGGTAACGAAGTCAGTGCATATGGCTTTATTTGTAGAGTAAGTGCTCCTTGGAGTATTAGCTACATTGTGAAAAAAAAAAAAGTAAGTAAGTAAGACAAGTTTTCTCTTTCACTGTATGGTAGAGGTGGCTCCAAAGAAATGAGTTGAACCAACCTCCCTTGAAGTTCCTTTTTTACGGTCAACTAAAAATCTGGCATATGTATTCCACAAATACGAATCTACGTTTGTAACTGAGTGGATGTCTTGATATTGTGTTGTTATCATATGCTGATATTACACTTGGTAAAATGGCTTTTGAAATAAAATGCCTATCAGATAGTTATTTAAATTTTATTTTTAAATTTTAGTTATTGAATCCAAAACACTTCAAGGAAGTAAAGGAGAACACAGCTTTAACAACCCTGGAGTCTTTGTGGTAGAAAACACTACGGTCGAATTTCAGCGGGGCCCAGAGAGGCAAACCTTTAAGATTCCAGGACCTCTAATGGCTGATTTCATCTTCAAGGTAGGGTGATCCTCTCTATAAATTTCCTGCACCTGAAGCCCAGAACGTCTTGATTTTAAAAACGATAGGTTTGGGGGACCAGCAGTTAGTGTAATGGCTATGTCGCTGGACTCCCATGTAGTCGACCATGGTTTGAGTCCTGGACCCGGTGGCTTAAACTCACGCCTGGAATGTGTGCATGTATGGCTAAGATCCCGAGAGGAGAATGGAGGGAAGGGATTGTGGCATGGCCATCCCCCCAGGGGGTGATTTCTCTCTTTCTGTCTCTCTATCTCCCTCTGTCTTTTTGGCAAGCGCATGTACCCTATAGCAAAAAACCCTCCAAAAAGGAAAAAAAAAAAAAAAAAAGATAGGTTTGGTCAAAAAAAAAAAAAAAAAAAAAAAAAAAGATAGGTTTGGGAGGCCAGCAGGTGGCGTTGTGGCTAAGGTGTTGGAATCCCACATGGACGACTGTGGTTCGAGTCTTACACCCAGTGGCTTGAAACTCATTCTGCGTGCGTGCGTGTGTGTGTCCAAGATCCTGGGAGGAGAATGGAGGACAAGGGATTGCAGGGTGACTATCCCCTTGGGGGTGATTTCTCACTTTCCCTCTCACTGTCTGTCTCTCTCTCTGGCAAATGTGTGTGCCCTAAGGCAAAAACCTCTTCAAAACAAAACAAAAAAATGATAAGTTTA